AAAATTATATACTGTAACTTTAATTTAGTGTTTTTGATATACCAGTGTTAGCATCTTGCTGAGGAGTTAGAGATAGCATTAAATAAATTGAAAGCAGTATTTATAAAAGAATATTGTATGAAAATAAATAAAAGTAAAACAAAAATATTGGTATGCAAGTGAATAAAAAATAAGAAATGTAAGATGAGTAAATATAAATATAGGAGACGAAAAATTAAATGAAGTGGCTGATTTTCAGTATCCACGAAAAAAGATTGTTAAAGGTGTATGTCTAGAGTACGACACTGTACGGGTGCGAAACGTGAACGATGGGGGCGGCAGAAAAGAAAAGGTTAGAAACGTTTGAAATGTGCTGTTGTAGGCGAATGATGAGAATACCGTGGATACAAAAGGTTAGAAATGACGAAATATTAGAAAAAAATAGAAGAACAAAGGTTTTTAGGACATCTTAGGCATGAAGGACTAGTTAGAGACATATTAGAAGCAGAAATAGGAGTTAAGAGGAGTAGAGATAGACCTAGATTAGATTACTGTTCACAAATTGTTAGGAATGTGGGATGTTCTAGTTTTAGGGAAATTAGATTTTTAAAATAGGAAATGGATTTCCCAATTATCGAAATACGAATGAAATTCAATACTCAGGCATTTAAGATTAAAGATTAAAATTGAACTATTTCGAACAAACTACATCTATATAGTTGCATCACCCATTAACCCTAAAATAATGCAAAGACAATTCAATTACTATTAAAATACTTTTCAATTGCATCCCAATAAAAAGTTACAGAATCAGTGAACACACTTTAAGGTATTTTGAAAAGGTATTTATAACAAAAGGCATATCTAAATCCCATTTATTACAATAATTCGCGATAGAGTAGTACTATTAAGTGTAATTGTTTTCAAAATATGTATGCATAGTACTTTTGCTTAGCAAAATATCATAGTCATTTCTTTATACTATGCATTAACTCTCATAAACTGGATTTGTTTTGAATTAGTGAAGACGTAAGTAATTTTATTTTTAACATGTGATTATTTAAAAATATGACATCAGGACCATAAAACTCCATTCATTGTTATCTATTTTTATCTTCCAAATACCTTTCTACTCAATAATATTGTTAACAATGAAATATCTGCGTTATCATTATGACTGCGCAATATTTCGTTCAACAAAGAAATGCTGGTGAGCTTTTGTTCGAAAAAAAAAAGTTTAGGTTTCATTTTTGTTCGTTTATTATTAAACTAAGTGATATTAAATGAAAGCAAAAGAAGGGCCACGTCAATTTGGTTTATTAGTGCTACGAATTAATATTGGTCAATGCAATTCGATAATGAATATATATGATGTAGATGGATTATAACGAAATGAATAAATCAGTGAACAAAAATTCAATCGTGTCCTAAGCCAAAGCAATCCTAAACTATAACAATGATGTCTACCTGACTAAACGAAACACAAGCAGGAAACAGATGGGCTGATGAAGACTCCTTACACCTAAATGTATATGTTAGGCCCGAATACCGAAAACGCTCAGTGGCCAGAAAAAACGGCCACATCGCGTTCTGGCTGCCTTCGAACGCACAGAACGCGTTTTGGCTGTTTTTAAACGCTCGTAACGCGTTCTGGTAACTGTTAAACAGCCGGAACGCGCTTTGTCAATTGCTGAATGCTCACAACGCGTTCTTAATGTTCGACTTGTATTATTTGCCGCTTTCTACCTGCGTACAATGAGATTTATATTGTAGGTACTTATAAACCAAATGAATTTCAATCCATTTTTCAGTTTTTAGGAAACAATTCAATTATTGACAACTATAATTAGATACCAAAGACGGGTTCGGTTTTTCTTGCCGAATCATTTCAACAATATTAAATTTCTTATAACTGTTTTTCAGTTCTAGGAAGAAAGTTACATTGAACGCTTATATTGCCGAGCATATAATATACGAATGAATGAAATTTTAATAACTTTTTGTAATTTTAAGATTTTGTCAACTTACCTAAACAATAGGTGTACGGTTATTAGCTATTGTTATAAACTGAAGGTACTAAAAATGTACAACTTTCCTTTATAATCTTTTCAGTACAGTACGTTTATGATCATTTGTAATTTGTATGATCTTTTCGGAGATTTTATAACAATGCACGTACCGATGACTCTATATGACAATGAATTATGTGATCATAAAGGTTTAGAAATTAAATTTTCGAGTATACAGTAACTAACTTGACTTCATGAAAAATCAATATTTTAATATTGTTGAAATGATTCGGCGAGAAAAACCGAACCCATCTTCGGTATCTAATTATAGTTGTCAATAATTGAATTGTTTCCTAAAAACTGAAAAATGGATTGAAATTCATTTGTTTTATAAGTACAATATAAATCTCATTGTACGCAGGTAGAAAGCAGCAAATAATACAAGTCGAACATTAAGAACGCGTTGCGAGCGTTCAACAATTGACAAAGCACGTTCCGGCTGTTTAACAGTTACCAGAACGCGTTGCGAGCATTTAAAAACAGCCAAAACGTGTTCTGTGCGTTCGAAGGCAGCCAGAACGCGATGTGGCCGTTTTTTCCGGCCACTGAGCGTTTTCGGTATTCGGGCCTAACATATACATAAACGCTAAGATATGCTACATTATAGTACTCTACTTTTTCTCCTCTTTAATTTAATATCTCACTTGATACAATAGTAAAAATAAATTTCGGAGACCCCCCCACTTTTTTGGATATAACCTCCGTCATACTAATTTTTTTCGTATTAAGTGAAGTCTATGCTACGCGGACTATAATAACGAATCGGTTGATACCTCATTCATATCAGTAGTTAGGGAATGTACCCATACTAACCATCCATTTTTTACAATTTTACCTCACCCTCCTCGATGACCACTCGTAGTATATACCAGGATCCCCCTCTAATTTTCACGTAGTAATTCATTTTTTCTAGAATGTTTTAAATTTAGCTCGAAAAAGCGTGAGATTTCTCTAAAAGATGTTGACCACGTGACGAAAACCGAAGCACTCCCGTCCCAGTGGCCATGCATGGTATTTTTTAATACCCCCCCGAACGGGTCACGTGGTATGGGTACGTTCCCTTACTGTAGAACATTACATAAATACACAAAATACATGCATAGACCACTAAAATCGTAACCCTCCGTTTTGGATTTGCTATAATCTTCATGAAGACATAAAGCAAACTGTTAATTCTCCAGCTGTTATTTGAATTGTTTCCTGGAATATGACCATACTATTTGCAACAATGCCTAAATACTGCTTTTATTCAACTGCGAACAGATGTTATAAATTTTTCATGCCGTTAAGATAATTATACAACTTGCAGTATTATGCTGCAATGATACTTGTTATTATCTGAGCAAATGTATATATACGAATTTAAAAAAGAAAATAATTTCATCCACACCATTTGGACATTTTAATCAGTCCCTTTCAGGACAGAGGGGGCAGATGCCATTCTTCCCAAAATCGATAAAATAAATCTTTAAAAAATTTGATGACTCTACCATATACACAACGTTAGATGACTAATACAAAGCTAGTTGATTTTACAACACGAATAAGGTTGTTTTAATTAAGATATTAAGATTAAATTTTTGTTTTATTATTAATTAATTGACAAAAACCGCCTCCTATAACGTAGTGTGCACAATAAGAGCTTTTTTTAACCTCATCATGTAAAAGTTGATGGATGTACAACACTTTAAAGCTAAAGACAAAACGAGAAATTATAAAAAAAAAGCAGACGAAACAATTGTTACAGTTATCCTAATAAATTTACAAAACAAAAATATACCAAGTGTTTTATTTCCTTTGTCTAATTTAAAAGAGAAAAATTAAAAAAATAGTAATACTTGTATACCACCATAAAACAGTTTCAAGTAAGAAAAGACAAAATTTACAAATTGTAATTGTTTTACCTACAACTTATATTCTCTATTCTCTGGACCATTAGCTGGTGACGCCATTGGTACATTTAGGAACTCAGTTTATGTTAAGTTAGTAATAATTTTCATTTATTTATAAATAAAAAGTATCGTTAATTATAAAATCCTTACTATTTTATATTTGAACTCTATTCAACAGTAGAAATTAACCATAAAATGGTAAGCAAGGATACAGAGTTTCTAGAAAATTTACAAATACTTTATTTAACTGATTCATAGTAAATCAAAAAGGACTAATTATTCTGTAAATTATTTACAG